CGCTCTTCTTGCAGCTGCTGAGATGCTTCATCTACTTGAACGAGATTTAGCTACTAAACTCTCATAGTCTTATCATGCTGAGGAGCTGAATCACGAATTTCTAATACCACCTTATGTTCTTTAGTGCACACCTTATCAACAACTGAAACCGATGACCGTTTCTGGTGGAACATAGCAAATTCATCAAAAGTTAGATCAGGACACCACAACCTAAAACCCTTAACACCCGATGCATAACTTAGGAATATGCACCTCTTCGATCGCGACTCAAGTTTTCCTTGACTAACATGCTCATATGCAGGGCAACCAAATATTCTAAGATTAGAATAATCCACAAGCTTACCGGACCAAACCTCCTCTGGAGTTTTACAACTAATAGCAGTAGATGGCGACCGATTCACTAAGTAACAAACCGTATTCACTGCTTCCGCCCAGTATTCCTTGCCTAAACCTGCATTGAACATCATACAACGAGCTTTCTCTAATAGGGTTATGTTCATACGTTCTGCCACTCCATTCTGTTGTGACGTGCGAGGGACTGTATGATGTCTAGCGATTCCCTGCTTCTTGCAGAACTCATTAAATTCTCCTCCATAAAACATAAAGTCATTATCAGTTCTAAGCCACTTAATTAGCCTCCCAGTCTACTTCTCAATCAAAGACTTCCATTGTTTGAAAGTCACAAACACCTCATCTTTATGTCTCAAAAAGTAGACCCAAACCTTCCTGGAGTAGTCATCAATGAAGGTCAATAAATATTTGGAACTACCACCCCAAAAAGTAGACCCAAACCTTCCTGGAGTAGTCATCAATGAAGGTCAATAAATATTTGGAACTACCACCCCTCGAGGCAACTTGAGAAGGTCCTGGAGTAGTCATCAATGAAGGTCAATAAATATTTGGAACTACCACCCCTCGAGGCAACTTGAGAAGGTCCCCAAAGATCTGAATGTATATAATCCAAAGTATATTTAGCCTGATGCACTGTCATATTGAAGGTGACTCTTTTCTGCTTCCCAAAGATGCAATACTCGCAGAATCCTAATTTTCCTATACACTGTCCACATAAAAGATCCTTCTTACTCAACTCGGTCAATCCGTACTCACTCATATGACCAAGTCTCATATGTCATAATATGGTAGTATCAACTCCTGACATCGATGATGCAACTGCAGCCGAGCCGATAATGGTAGAACCCTGCAAAACATACAAGCTGTCAATCTTTTTTTCTTTTATAACCACAAGAGAGCCTTTTGTAACCCTAAGAACTCCACCTTCACCTAAAAAATTACACCCAATGTTATCAACAGTGCCCAAAGAGATGAGATTCTTCCTTAAACCTGGAATATGCCTAACATCTGACAAAGTCCTGATGATTCCATCATGCATCTTAATCTGAATTGTGTCTTTCCCAATAGTCTTACATAAGGCGTTATTCCCCATAAGAACAGTTCCACCATCAATAACTTCATAAGTGGTGAACCAGTCCCGATTAGGACATATATGATAGGAACAACCCGAATCCAAAATCCAATCATCCATGCTCCTATTTATATCATCTGTAGCTAATAAAATCACATTTTCAGCAATATCAACTTCAGCGGCGTCCTCCTTTAATTTTTCTTCATACTCTCCTTGTTTATTTTTGTTCTTTATTATGTAACAATCGGTCTTGATGTGTCCTTTCTTCTTACAATATCTGCAGGTCAGATTCTTATGCTTCGACTTATACTTGTTACCTCCAAAGCCTCTTTCTTCCGATCTTCCTCGAACAAATAAGTCATCAGCTTTATCGATACTTTCACTTGTGATTAACTCTTTATCGATCTTCTCATTATTCAATAAGTTCTCTTTGACGTCTTTGATACCAATAGAATCTCGACCATAAATCATAGCATCCATGAAGTGCTTGTAGGAAGACAGAAAATAACACAATAATAATAGGGTTTGATCTTCATCATCGATCTTAACATCAATCTTACTCAAATCTGTAATCACATAATTAAATTCACCAATATGAGATTTGATGGGTGTTCCTTTCAACATCCGAAGTGTGTACAAACTCTGCTTCAAGAGGAGGCAATTAGTGAGTGACTTCGTCAACTACAAATCCTCCAATTTAGACCACAAACCAGTGGTTATTTTCTCTGTGATAATTTCTTGCAAAACTTCGTTTGTCAAACATAACTGGATCGCTATGAGAGCTCTGTCATCCAACTCGTTCCAATCTTCCTCCGTCATAGTAGCCGGTTTCTTCAACTTTCCGAACAAACCCTTCTTCAATCCACTCTGTGTCAACACGTCGATCATCCTAACTTGCCAAAGGCTAAAACTGATGTTGACGTCAAACTTCTCGATATCTCACTTCGTAGTAGTTTTCGTCATCTTCTCGTCCGATCGATAGTTGAGGGCTCTGATACCAATTTGTTATGGCAATTTCCCTAGAATAAACTAATATCAATCACACGATAGCACGAAAAATATCAAGAACACACGAACACAAAGATATACGTGGGTCAGCTTGTAGCCTACGTCCACGGGCGAATGAGGAGAAAAGCTTTACTAATTGTGAGGAATACAAAGTGGAATATCTCAATCACTCAATCCTAAATCACACCCCAAAAGCCTAATACAACTCTCAATTAAAGGAACAAAAGAGAAGAATATCAAATAAGCTTCACAAAAGAACTCTCTCTTCTTGATTGGTGCTCTGAAGATTAATGCATCTAATTAGCTTGAAAGACTGTTCTTATATAACCTTGAAGGTCATAGCTCTTTGCTGTCTAAGGAATAAGAGTTCTAATAGGAATAAAAGTCCACATGTTCTAAAACCCAATAAGAATCTAAGTAGGAATAAACCTCTAATATGGTTGGTTGTGCAAAGTCTAATGTAAGTAGGACTCTTGCTTAAAACAAATCAACCTAAAAAGTAACTCCCAAATCATAATGAATTTGTGTATTTGAGTCAACCTATAACACTTAGTTGCAGAAGTGCATAAAAATATTATTGCTGTGTCATGTGCTAAAAGTTCTTCAGATATATTTGCTTTCTATCACCAAAAAGATAAAGAGATTTCCTCTTTTTTCTCAAAGATGATCCTCTTTTGTATGCCTTTACTGGAGAATCACGTGTCCTTCTTTATCCATATTGATTGATATGATGCTCTGATTGAAGCAGAGAACCTTGCATTTTTCTGACAACTTAGCTGCTTCTGAAAAACTTACCAAGATTCAAATTGATCTGGCAACTAAAATTTCCTATCAGTGGTTTGTTTCCTCAAAACTGCTTTTTTGTCTGCCAACATCTTAAATGAGTGACTCATAAGGCGAACAAAGATGCAATCTCTATCACCAACAATAGAGTATTGATTGATGAAGCTTTTTTTTTTAAGGGTGAAGTCTTCTGCCTCTTGTTGAATCGTTGCCTTTTCCTTCAAACTTGAGCTATGGTCTTTGTTGTATATGTACATTGTCTTAGCTATCATCTTACTTTTGTTAAAGGTTGAGAGTGACACGTAATTGGTGAAAACTTGAGATCATGTTTGTCTTAAGATGACTTGCAAGCTACGATTGCTCATGGATTTACAAGCTCTTTCCTTTGTGACATTAAGTTTATCAGCTAAGCCTCTAACACTACAATTACCTATACTTTCTCGTGCCTTTTCATTTTATTTTTAGTTTTACTGTTTTGTATACTCAAAAAGAAAACTAAAAGACTAATGGTTTGTATATAGATGAATTCCTTCTTTTTTTTTTTCTCGAGACGAGAAATTATACTAAATTTTATGGGACCGACTATGAGATGATTAATTGTCTTAATTTGCTACCCTTTGATTTCGTATAGAATTTCAAGGAATTAAATTATGAACATGACATGTGATCCATTGTTCTGTAGCTGGTCACCTGACATTCATTTCGACCCCTAAAAAAATGCTCATATAATAAAAATGATTAAGTCATTCATAAATTATCGATTTTCAAATCATCACGTACTCAAGACAATGTATAGAAAAAAATGTAAAATATTTTTTTTTGAACCTGAGAAACAGGGTGAGGTACCCTGTTCATTTGAATATATTAATAGAAGATAGAAGAATGTACATACTTCTTCTCTAGATTGATGGTGAGATCAGTGAGAGAGGTGGGTAGGGAGCGGACCATAGTCGTCACCTACCACACCACACCAACCGATACCATCATCTAAAGAAGGCAAAAGGAAACCAAAAATAGACAACGTTTCATAAGGATCATAGAAAACACTACAATACTGATAAGAGACTGAAAATGCTAGGCACTGATAGCCCCTAACCAAAAGGGAACAAATAAAACACCCAAAGTCAACAAAGCATGTCTAGAATGCCACTCAGGATACAGATGTTAGCTGCTGCGGAGGCTCTCCCCTGCATCCCCTGAGGAAGACTTCTTCGCTAGGTTCTGGAGGCCGAGATTAAGGGCTGCCCTACGAAGCCTCCTCGCCGTCCTGTCATCTTCTTCACCTGTCCAGAAAAGTGAGAATCTCGCAATATTAGATGCAGCTAATAGCGAGTTAGGAGGAGTATCTCTGAAAATTAAAGAGTTCCTTGTAAACCATATCCACCAACAGAAACAAGGCAACAAGATCTTCCAAAAGGTTTTGATATTCAGGCAAATGTTGGGTAATTGATAGAGCAACAGCAGCTTTTCCATGTTTAAAGGCCAGCAGTTTGCTGGGAAATGTGGGAGAAGGTGATTCCATACTTCACGAGCAAAAGAGCAGTGTATAAATAAATGGTCATGGGACTCCGTCTCCCGATGACATAATGGACAACTTGGATCACCGTTCCAACCTTTTTTGATCAAATTATCTTTGGTATTCAATTTCCCTTTAGAGATGATCCAGAGGTGGATTTTTACCTTAAGGGGAATGTTGGATTTCCATATTAACTTGAAAAACTGGGATTTAAAACCCCCTGAAGAAGTAAAAGAGTAAAGGGATTTTACAGAGAAAGCGCCCGATGGGTGAAGAGGCCACCATAAGGAGTCTTGTTCGGATGGGCCACCTGGAGATAGATGTTCTAGGAAGGAGTGGAGGTGAATAACATCATCCCTCTCTCTTGGGGAAGATCCCCTTCTAATAATAGGATGCCAAAGACATGAACCATTTGCCCATCTACCTTGCGAACTGATGCTACAATTACTCAAGAAGGCAAGCTTGTAAGCATGGGGAAAGAGGCTGCTAAGGGTGTTAGCTGCTGCCCATTTGTCATGCCAAAAACTGCTCGAAGTACCATTACCGACATTCCATCTGACAATGCTGAAGAAAGTGGATTGAGCTGAGAGAAGGTCCTGGAAAAATCTTGAGTGTGCCAACTTCGGATGATTAGCAAAAGGGTTAGCTCCATGTTTGGAATATATAGAAAAAAACACTTCACTGAGGAATGATGATCTATCCCAAATTTTCCAGATCCATTTGGAGAGGAGGGCTGAATTAAAGGAGGGGATATCAATCACCCCAAGCCCACCTTCAACTTTGGGTTTACATACTATACCCCAGTTAATGAGGCACTTGGATCTAGAGAAGCTGTGGCTGCCATTCCAGAGGAAATTTCTTCTGATTTTATCAATGGCCTTGGAGACCCATATCGGCAACTTGAAGAAAGACATGTAATAAAGGGGAATAGAGGAGAGCACTGAGTTCAGCAATGTTAATCTGCCTCCTATTGAAAGAGTTTTGTTCTTCCATAAAGATAGCTTTTTTTTAAAAGATTCTAGGAGAGGTTGCCACTCTCTTTTGGATAGAGATCCCCTTTTCAGGGGGAGACCCAGATAAGAGAAAGGGAGGGTACCGACTGCACAGTTGAGGGTTTCAGCCAGGAAATTGCCTTTATGAGGGATTTTCCCAAGATAGTACAGATTGGATTTCTGAGGGTTAGCACAAAGCCCTGAAATGCTGGCAAAAATTGAAAGAATGGATTTGAGAGTAACCATATCAGAGGAGTTAGCCCTGGAGAAGATCAGGGTGTCGTCCGCAAATTGAATAGATCTGATGGAATTGAGTTTACCTTTCAATTTGAGATCGGAAAGGTCACCTGCATCTGCACTGCATTTAAGCATCCTACTGAGGACATCCGTCACAAGCAGGAAGAGGAGAGGGGAGAGGGGGTCTCCTTGCTTGAGACCCCTGAAGCATTTGAAGAAAGAGGTTGGGGAGCCATTGACCAATACGGCAGATTTAGAGGATGAAATGATATGGTGAATCCAGGAACACCATTTGGGGCCAAAGCCTCTGGCTTCAAGAAGGGAAAGGAGAAAGGACCAGTCGACACAGTCAAAAGCCTTATAAAAATCAACTTTAATGGCACACACCTCTTTTTTCCCAGAAGAACAGAAATTTATCATTTCGTGGCCTAACAGAAAAGAATCCAGGGAGGATTTACCTTCTTGAAAGGCAGATTGAGAGTTGTCTATAAGCAAGTGGAGAACTTTTCTAAGCCTATTAGACAGGACTTTAGAAAATATCTTACATGAGCTGTTGATCAAGCTTATGGGCCGGAAATCTTTGGGGGAAATAGCATCTGCCTTTTTGGGGATGAGGCAGATATGGGAGTAGTTGATGTTTTGGAGAGACTGGGGGTGAGAGTATAGACCTTGAATGAAGTCGAAGACATCAGATTTAATAACTGGCCAAAACTTTTGATAAAAGAGAATAGGAAGGCCATCTGGTCCTGGGGATTTGTCAGGGTGAAGGCCAAAAACTGCTTCAGTGATTTCTTGTTGGGAGAAGGGGAGATCGAGGGAGGCTAAGTCTAGGAGGCCTGAAGGGTATAAGAGATTCCAGTTGGGTCTCAAGCTAGAGGCAGGTGGTTTGCTGTATAGATTAGAAAAAAAAGGAAAGGAAAGATAGCTTAATATCACTATCAGAGGAGATGATTGAATCATTTATAATGAGATGGGGAATAAAATTTTTTCTGCGGTGATAGGAGGCCACTTTGTGAAAGAAGGCTGAGTTGTTATCCCCTTCTTTAAGCCACTGAATACGGGACCTTTGTTTCCATTTTATCTCTTCAGCGTTAGCGAGAGAGAGGACCTGATCCTTTAAATCAGATCTAAGATGGAGCTCTGAAGAGGAAAGGTCCCTCGATTCTTCGGAGACATCAAGAGAGTGAATTTGGGACATGAGATCAGAGAGATGATGGGGGAGGGATCTGAAGCAAAACCTTTTCCACCATTTGATTCTCCTCTTAATGAGTTTTAGCTTGGCAGGAAGGGACATGGTCTGTTCCCCTCTAGGAGAGAAGGAAGCCCAACTGGATTCAATGAAGGAAAGGAAAGAGGGGATTGATAACCACATTTTTTCGAGTCTGAAGAGAGGAGGGACAACAGGAGAGTTGGTATCCAACAAGACTGGACAGTGATCTGAACATTGAGCTGGATAAGCAAACTGGACCATTTGAGGAAATTTAGTTTCAAAGTCCAAGGAAACTAAGAATCTATCCAATCTAGCTAAGGATGGGGGGGATCTAAGGTTAGACCAGGTGAATTTCCTCCCACTGAGGGGGAGGTCTATCAGATGAACCGAGTCAATGAGGCGCTGAAAAACTTTAATATCTCTAAGGGAGCTGGAACGACCACTTCTTTCCTCTGAACTCAAGGTCATGTTGAAGTCACCAAAAACAACCCATGGCAAAGCATGAGAACTTCTAATCCTCTTGATTTCCCACCAGCAAACTTCCCTATCAGATGGATCACAAGGGGCGTAGATGGAAGTAGCTACGAAGCTCCAATTTGAAGGTTTATGAGTGAGGGTAGCCGTAACAGAGAAAATGTCTGAGGACGAGGAGGAGCAGGAAAAGATGTCATCGTTCCATCCTAGGAGAACACCCCCCCCTCGAGTCTGATGCATCAAGAGATAACCAAGAAGTAATAGAGTTTCCCCCTAAGGATTTAAGGAAAGAGGGGTTGGAGGCTGATATTTTTGATTCCTGAAGACCGACCAGGTTTACTTTGGCAAGGGCAAGACACTCCCTGACCAACCTACGTTTAGCAGGGTCGTTTAACCCGCGAACATTCCAAGATCCTATACGCATGGATAAACAGAAGAAGACAACTTAGAGAAATGAGGAGGGAGGGGGCTCAGAGGGGAAGGTCCCCTAAAGACATCCTATTCTGGATCTCCTTCAAACCAGACTTATCTACTGGAGCTAGAATGCCACAGTTCACTGAGATCTCTTCCAAAGAGTCCAGGTCCGGTGGGGGAATGGGAGGAGTGGAAACAGAGGAAGAGGAGTATGGTTTAGATATACCTGAAAGCTTACCCTTCTTGATCATGGCTAGATGTTTCCTGAAAGGCCGGTGCGAGGGGTTGCTGCTTGAGATTTTTTTCTTGGTTCGTTTGGACTTCTTCTTGGCCGGTTCGAAACCAGGGGGAATATCAGAGGAAGAGTTCTGGTCCTTAGAGTCTGTGGAGCTGATCTGGATGGCAGAGTCTCCTTTTGGGGATAAAGACGGAACGTCTACCAGATGTGGGAAAGCTGCTTTGAGAGAGAACCAGGAATCTTTGGAGATGTCGATCGTAATACCTTTGAAAGAGACCGCCATGAGCTCAGGCGGAGCTGGAACTGATGGGGGGAGAGGAGGAGGATTTGAGCCATCTTCTTCCAACATTGGGCTTTTTCCTTTTAAGGAGGCCTGATTTGGTCTCGGGGATAGAGACAAGTGGCTCTGGCGAGGGCATTGGAGGGGCTGATCTTTGGGAGGAGGGGATGAGGCACCTTCTTTACGAACAAAGACTTCGAAGAGATCCCGATCTCTTCCTTTTTCCGCTGGCAGTGGCTCACCTACCACTCTTAGTTTGACTGATCCTTCCATGATATGAACTCCATTTTCTGCTTCATACCTGAATATGACTTCTTGGGGGATTTCAGAGGGATCCCTAACATGCAGCATAGCTTTGCAAGCTAGGGCTTCTCTCTTAAGCATGATATCGTCGGAGAAAGCAATGACATCTCCTATGTCCACAAGAATACTGGTAATGAACTCCGAGTCCCATAAATGAATGGGGAGACCAATAATTTCTACCCAGACATAAAAAAATTTCGGAAGCACTTTAAGGCCAAAAGACTCTGACCAGGGGGTGAAAATACCCCCAAAGTTACCCAAGTTGAAGAAGGGTTTAGAACAAGCATGATCCAACGTCTCCTCGTCCGGGAACTGGATGAAGTAGGAGTTCTCCGAGGATTGCCTAATCACATAGGTCCATTTCTCTACCTTGAGATGGCGCTCCAAGCTCTCCACCAGATCTGGATAGGAGGGCTTTCCAGACTTGATCTGAAGGTGCGCAAATCTCGAGAACTCAACCAGACTCGAACTAACAGAAGGGGGGAGAGAGACTTTTGGGAGGAAAAGAGGAGGGGGAGGTGGTGGGGGTATCTGAGGGGGGAGGCTGAGTAAAGGAGGCTGCTTTTTGTTAGGGCAACTAACTGAGGTATGCCCTACAAGGTTGCAGGCAAAGCATTTGAAGTCTCCAAGAGAGCATTTGTTGGCCATGTGATCAGATCTACCACAAAGGAAGCACCTTGGGATCTTGGGGGGGTCCTACAAGGTTGCAGGCGAAGCATTTGAAGTCTCCAAGAGAGCATTTGTTGGCCATGTGATCAGATCTACCACAAAGGAAGCACCTTGGGATCTTGGGGAATATAAAAGTATAACCCTCAATTATCATTATAAATTCAGAATTTTGGTGTCGTATGTAATAGAATTCTTGACATGATAGCAGAGCAATTTGGGTTCAAATCTCACTATAGCCATAAATTTAAACAGATATTAAAAAGTAATACATCCGCATGGGTTCATGTTTCAACCTATATAAAAACCTCGACCTACGGGACATGTTAGAACATATTATAAATCTCAACCCCCATTATATGCAACTTCGGAATTTTAATTTAGTGAAAGAGCTCTTCGACAGGAACATGAGCCTACAACTCAGCTCCAACATGAGGGAATAGGAGGCCCCATTCCCTCATGTATACATCATCCTCACTTATCAAACACAAGGGCACATACACATCCAGTCTGCTTGCTGCCTAATGACGCTATAACTCACCTATAGCCTATAGGGACACATCGACAGTAATTCAAAACATGATGCTAACTTAATTTCCTCTCCCTTTTGGACCTGAGAGCTTGACAAAGGAACGAACGAGGACCTGGCAACAATTATTCCAAAAAGTATATAGCGCAAAGGCGAGAGGGACAGGTGTACCTTTACTTGGGGGTGAGGGGATTCCTTCCCCTTTCGAAAACGCATACGTGCTTCCAAGATTTGCTTGGTAAGGTGGGGGTGAAAGTCTGTCCAATGAGACCGTGCCACGTACCACCGACCAACGGTCGTGAGATTGAGAAACAATAAAAAAGGGAGGAGGCATGCAGGTGCTTTGAAGAGATGGAGCTTACTTGGAAAGTGTTTGAGAAGGTGCTAGCTGGTCCGTGTCAGTTTCGTTGATTGTTTTGTGTTAATTTATACATTTTTTTTTTAGTGAGTGCAACGCACACTCCTCCACGTACTTTTGTACTTAATAAATCTGGCAATATTTTCTAATAATCAAATTGTTTAATTATCTTCTACATAAAATGGATCAAGTATTTTGTCCATTGAGGCTACTACGCGAAAGATTTTTTTTTCTTTTCTTTCCCTGAATAATTTAGACAAGTTTAGGCAAGTCTGAATCATGTAGGGCAGGCTGAGCATGCATGCACATAGAAGAATATCTAAAAGAAATACAATTTCCTTAAAATCATATATATGTCTAGGGGATAAGCATAACTAATATATAAAAAAAAGGAATAGGCATAATTCTAATTGTTACTTGTTGTGCGCGGCGGAAGCTTTCTAGGGCAACACGAACAATAACTCGAACTAAACCACAAACAATATGCAAACCACAATCACAGCAAGAACACACAATTTACGTGGTTCGGCAAGTTGCCTACGTCCACGGGGCAAGGAGGGGGGAGTTCTTTCTACTAGAAATCAAGAGAATACAAATAGGGTTACAAATCTCTCAGACCAAACCCTAAAACAAAACTCTAAATCTCTCAAAGCTCTCTCCCAATTGGATGCAATGATTTTCTCTCTTTGGCTGCTCAAATTCGTCCAACCTCTTCCCTAAACAAACAGGTTTAGGTATATATAGAACTTACAAAACGAACCGGGTCGAAAACCTGAAAAACTGATATCCGCTTCGTCGGGCGGCCCAAAACGAATCGGGTCGAAAACCTGAAAGCCCAGCCCAAAACAGCGTCGGTCGACCGGACCGGTCGACCGCGATCAATTCCGGTCGACCGACCCGGTCGACCGACCACCTCCAGCAGAACCCCGAAAGAATCCAGAGAGCCGTCGGTCGACCGGACCGGTCGACCGACCTCCTTGTGCACGAATCCGGTCGACCGGACCGGTCGACCGCCACCTGTTTTTCCTGATTCTGCTGCTGATGCTGAAATTCCTTCATCCATAACATAACATGTTTTCAATACTTGAAGAAAGTAAAATATAACATGTTTAACATAACATGTTTTCAATACTTGAAGAAAGTAGCAAAAATATGGGCGGTATCTTCAATCGGCATCACCTACAATTTGTTGTGCATGTATGTACTCATATATTATCCAGCAGCAAATGAATGATATTTGGCTAAATGACGCTATCAGCACGGCTGGCTTTGATTTATTAATTAAGAAAGTTATACTGCTGCTAAGACAAAGAAATATATAAATAAATTAAAATATAGTATGGCAGATGAAAATAATATTTAAAAGAAAACGTGTTGATCAATTCAATAGATCGAATTAGATCATTGAAGATAATAGATGAAGTAGTATTTCATTATCAACTCATCTCTATCCCTTTGTCATCTATGTGAAGTGTGTGCTTTCTCAATTTATTTGTCTGCACAGTTGGAAAGATTATCCAGAATATATTAGGGGAACGCATCTGGTGTATATCATTGTCATCACAAAAATGTATAATTTCTTAATTTAAAGCTATACATCTTTTTCCCCAGGGAACAATGACTTAGTATCAGCCAAGTAATAAAAGTATTGCAATGCTAATTGTTAGGATTTTTATATCTGGCAAAAACCCCAAAAACCACCAACGCAGTGAAGAGAATTTCACACAAGATATAACGTGGAAAACTCTCAATATGAAAAAAACCACAAGATCGAAAGCAATCCACGATCACCTTCAAATTACAATCTTTTACACTGACAAAGTATTGCAATGCTAATTGTTAGGATTTTTATATCTCGCATGTTAAAGTAAGAGAGAGAGAGAGAATCTTGGGTAAATTTCCCTTGAATTGAATATTGAGTGTGCACATATATTTATACAAGTAGAGGAGTGTGAGGTTTGTTCTCCCAAGCAATGTGGGACTAAAACCCACTACAATACACTATTATCAACAGCCCCCTTCAAACTCATGTTGGATCAAACAAAGTGAGTTTGCGTACAAGAAACTGGAACCGATGAACAGGTAAGGCCTTTGTGAAGAAATCTGCAAGCTCGTCAGCGGATGAAACATGAGGAAGTAGAATTGTCTTGTCCTTGATAACTTGGTGACGGACAAAATGAGCGTCGATCTCAATATGTTTGGTCCTTTCATGAAATACTGGATTATTAGCAATCTGGATGGCACTCTTATTATCACAGTAGAGAGGAGTAGGAGTCGTAACAGAAATACCGAAATCACTGAGAAGGCGACGAAGATGAATAATCTCTTTAGCTGTTGTGGACATTGCACGATACTCTGCCTCAGTACTGGAAAGAGCAATAACATCTTGTTTCTTACTTCGCCAGGAAATAAGGGAATCACCAAGAAATATACAATAACATGTGGTAGACTTTCTGGTAGTTGGATCACCAGCCCAATCAGCATCAGAATATGCACAAAGCTCTAACTTAGATGTAGCAGGAAACAAAAGTGAGCGAGTGCTAGTACCCCGGAGGTACCGAAGAATTCGTAATAAGACAGCATAGTGTACAGAACGTGGGGCACTAACAAATTGACTGACAATACCAACAGCATGAGAGATATCTGGTCGAGAGATGCACAAATAGACCAACTGACCAACAAGATGTCGATATCGGGTAGGATCAGATAGAGGCTCACCGTCAGTAGAGCAAAGTTTGACATTCTGCTGGAGTGGAGTATCGACAGTTGTATTATCAGTTAACTCAGCTTGATTTAGAATATCTGAGAGATACTTCTGTTGAGACAGTAATACACCCCGCGGGCCTTGAGAAATTTCTAGACCAAGGAAATACCGAAGAGATCCAAGATCCTTCATGTGGAACTGTTGTTGCAACTGAGATTTTGCGTATTGTATACCTGTCATATCATCACCTGTAATGATCATATCATCTACATAGATGAGTAATAAAACCCTGCCACGCGATGTAGTGCGAACAAACAGAGAAGCATCTTGATGACTTTCTATAAAGCCCGCTTTGAGCACAACATCGCGAAAACACTCAAACCAAGCGCGGGGTGCCTGTTTGAGACCATAAACAGCACGACGAAGGAGACATACATGTCCCGGAGGAATATTTGACCCTGGAGGCGGTTGCATATATACGGTCTCTGATAAAGAGCCATGAAGAAAAGCATTTTTGACATCCATCTGGTATAAGGGCCAACGATGAGCAGCAGCGACCGCAAGGAGAGTACGCACAGTGGG